TTTCCTGAATGCAAAAGAGCTACAATGTCAATCTAGAGACTAAGGTACACCTGATACAGGCTATGGCCTTTGCAATTACTTGCTATGCATCAGAAAGCTGGACAGTGACTAAGGATGATGGAAGAATTATGGATGCCTTTGAGTTGTTTTTATGAGCTGTGCAGTCACCTATGACCCACAGTGACCCTATGTACAGCAGCTCTGAAGCTTGCCCTAATCCAGAGCTAGTCTCACTGATTCTGACATACCTACCCCACTGCCCTAGTTACTGTTATCAGCCCATCTCATCCAGGGTCTTCTCTCTTGCACTCTCCTTCCCCCCCTTCCAAGCATGATGTCCTTCTCCAAAGACTGGTTCCTCCTGGCCACATGCCCAAAGTGAAACAGAGCTTCAAATTGTCAACCTTCAAGGAGAAGCTTGAGTTTCAACTTCTCTAAGACAGACCTATTTCTTTTCTTGGAGGTCATGGTAGGTTCAAGACTCTTTTCCAACTCCATAACTCAAAGGCATCAATGCTTCTTCTGTCATCCTTAGTCATTGTCCAGCTCTCTGATGCACAGCAAGTAATTGCAAAGACCATGACCTGCATCAGGCACACCTTAATCTCTAAACTGACAACATTGCTTCTCAGCACCCTGGAGAGATCCCTAACCATAGACTACCAAAAGAACAAACAGGTCTGTCCTGGAAAGGGTGAAGCCAAGTTGCTGTTTGGAGGCAAGGATTTCTTTTTAAGATGTATAGCTTTTTAAAATTATTATTTTTATTTTAATGAACATTTACAGAGACTTTGTATTTCCATATATTTATTGCTACACTTTCCTCCCTGCCCACCCCTCCCCCTCAATTAGCTTTTCTCTTTGAAAAGGAAACCCCCCCCAAAAAAAATATATATTCATATTCATTGTTATACAATCTGTGCAGCTTTCATTCTGGACTCTTGTCATGACAATATCTAATCATATATTCCTCCTAAACAGTTCTCTCCCTCATCTGTTTCAATGCAGTACACATTAATTATCCCCTCTTAATATGCCCCCAACTCCGATGCCAGTCCCACTTTACAACAGTGGTACTATATTCAGTATCTGTCCTTTCGTGACTGAGGTATTTCACTCAGCATAATGTGGAGGCAAACCTGACATACTTCAGGCATGTTGCCAGAAAGGACCAGTCCTTAGAGGAGGGCATCATTCTTGGAAGGGCGAAGTGCCAGCACAAAAGAGGAAGACCCTGGATGACATGATTAACACAGTAACTGAGATAACGGGGGTAGATGTGTCTGAGACAGTGCGACTGGCCCAGGATAGGACAGGGCTGTTGGACACGGGGTCCCTCTGAGTCGCCATCGACTCAACGGCATTTAACACACACACACGGGATTAACAGGTAAGTCTCAGAGCAGGTGTAGCCAGAGTGCTCCTTGGAAGCAAAGATGACAAAGCTTCATCTCTCATACTTTGGACGTGTTGCTAAGATACACTACTCCTCGGAGAGGGACATCGCACTTGGAAAGGTGGTGGGTCAAAGAGAGGAGAACCTCAACAAGAGGGACTGGCACAGGGCCGCTGCAGTGGTTTGGAGATATCCGAGATGAGGAGGATGGCACAGGACAGGGCATTAGCGAAAAACAAGCGGTGGGTGGAAAGGAGTCTAAGCGCCACAAGTTACAGAACACGCAGGCAAGGCATGTCTGCTCCGTGACCACTGTGTGACCTCCAAGGAGCACAGCTGGCTGCTAACCGAAAGCCTGGTGGACTGAACCCCCCAGAGGCTCCTCAGGAGAAAGCTGCGGCCATCTGCTCCCGCAGGAAGACCCCGCTAGGATGACTGGGCCTCCTTGTGGGGGAAGCTGCGGCCAACAGCTCCCGCAGGATGACAGGACCCTCCTCAGGACTCACACAGGGCTCTGTTGTCCCTTGCGCTTGCCGTGAGTCGGCGTTGATGCAATGTCAGTGTGTTCGGTTGGGTGTGGTGTCAGTCCTCTGAGAAGGTGTTTCTTGTGACTGTCACAATTTATCTTATAATGGGACAACTAGGAGCGAAGAACAAAATAAGGCAGTAAAGTGGACCTGGCAGGACCCGTGCATGGTTCCACAGAACTGCCCCAGCACCCTCAGAAGCCTCTGAGCAGTGGACGTCAGGGGGAGGGATCAGGAGATGGACTGAGGGAGAAGAGGACACTGCAGGAGAGCATGGGCACTTACGGGCATCCAGACCCTCCGTTTACGGCTCCAGGAGAACGGGCTGCGTGTCCAGCAGGCCTGAGGGTGCACTCCAGTCAGAGATGGGGAACTTGGGGCAACTCTGAACACCTCTGGCTACTGAAGGCAGAGGCGGTGTCATCACAGGAAAAGTAAGGTCAAGTCCAGGGTCAGGAGTCACAGCCTGCTTCCTGTCTGATGAGGCTGTGGTGATGCATTAAGGGGTCACTCACTGACTTCCGGAAGATTGCCAGGCCTTTCTTCCTCTTCTGAATGCTCCACAGAAACCTGGTCAGCAGCATCACAACCACACACCAGTCTTCACTGACAGAGATGGGCATCGACCTGACAGACCAGCATCAACTGAGAATCAAAATCCAGGAATCAAAACCTGGTCTCCCACATGGAAGGTGAGAATCCTACCACTGGATGAAAAACCACTGAGAACAGGCCAGGGCTGGATGCCCCAGTGAGCATCAAGGATGGCTGCCTAGGACAGCGCGTGTTCATGTTCAAGTATTCATGTCCTTCCTGTGATGCTGATGCTGTCTTCTCTGGGTCTTGAACATGACAGTTTCTGTGTAGAGTGACAAGACATTGTCAACTAGTTCATCTTACTCAGACCCATAATCAACAAACATGGTACCAGCGGTCAAGAAATCAAAAGATGTGTTGTCCTGGGAAAGTGTGCAATTAGGGATCTCACCAAAGTGCTGAAAAGCAAGGATGTTAGTTTGAAGACTAAGGTGCACCAAGCCATAATCTTTCCAATGACCTACTATACATCTGAGAGGTAGACAGAGAATAAAGATGACAGAACAATCTTTCGGGTTGTGGTGCTGGAGAAAACCATTAACTATCCCACTTGCAAAAGAACAAATACCTTTGAAAGAGTGTAGCCGGATGCTCCTTAGCAGAAAAGATAGAACAGCTTCACCTCACTTATTGTGGGCATGTGGTTAGGTGCAACCAGTCCTTGATGAAAGACATCATGCTCAGAAAAGTGGAGGGTCAGCAAATGAGAGGAATACCCTTAACAAGGTGGACAAGATGACTGTTATCAGTGGGCTCTAAAATGTCAAAGATGAGGATAGGATGGGATGAGACCAAGCATTCATGTTTGTTGAAAGTTGGACTTGATGACTCAAGGGTTCCCAACAAGAAGGGGAGGACCAAAATACACCTACTTGGGGTTCCTGTCACAGAGAACTGAGCCATTCCACTTACGATATCAGTCACAGCAGCACCAGAGAACTAGGCAGGGTCAGGGTGGTTTCTGAGGATTCAGGGGACACTCATTTTGTCCAGTTTACACTAGAGAAACAAGGACTTGGATAGGCCACTAAGATTCAGCATGTGGGTTATATGGGACGAGGGAAATGTCTCTGCCATGTGTCAGATGAAGGGCAGACATTAAAAATGCAGTCTGAGGGAGCTCTGCTGGCCTAGTAGCAAGACACTGTGCCACAATCCTGAAGGTGAGTGGTTTGAATCCACCAGATGCTCTGCTGGAGAAGGAGGGGAAATCTCCTGTGCCAGTCAGATCCAATTCAACGGTACAAAGAAAGAAAATAAAGAGGAAAAAAATAGGGGGGGGAAATGCAGTCTATCTATAAACAACTCTAGTTAAAATCAGGTATCCCACCCCCCACAATTTCACGGCAGGGTGGGGGCAGGAGTACGCACGGATGTGGCATAAGGGATCCCCATCCCAGGAGCCCCTCCAAGAGGTCAGGAAAGGCCACACTTGAAGGTCCGTGCTCAGCCCAGACAGAAATCACTGGAAGGACACGTGTTTACTACAAAAGTCAGTTTATTATTCCTTTTCGTGTTTTCTACTTTCCCTTTTTGTCAGTAATAAGTGATAACAGACTGGAAAATCTGCTTGGTAACATTTGTGTATCAAATCCATAAATACACATTCAGAGTGTAAAGATGCTGAAAACCAGTCCCCTGCCCACAGCCAATCAGTCCACTCAGGGGAGCTGTGTCTCGCTCGTCTGCACACCCACCCCGCACACAGCGCTGAAGACAGCCTCCCAAGTCTCTGAGAAGCAGACCTTTCAGGTCTTGTGACCCCTAATGTGACAGTGTCACACGGAGCACCCACTAGACAGGGACTTGGCCTCTTCTCCGGGTCCAGGTCTGCTGCGGAAACTCTCGAAGCTGTTGTACGGACCTCCATAAACAGGGTCCCGCAGCCACCAGCCCCCTAAGAAATGGGGCCAAGCACACAGGTCACGACACAGTTCTTTGTTATCAGGTAGCAGATCCAGGACGAGCCCTCTGGTGTGTCTCTGGAATAGTCACAATTACAGATGTGCTTCATGGCACTCGACAAGAAGGCTAGAGCCACAGTGAGCTCTGAGCAGGGGCAGCAACATGATTCCAAGGGATTTTGCTTCTCAAATTCCGACAGACAGGCAGAATGGTGCCCCCAGGACATGGACACTCTTCACACCAGATGGGCGGAGGCACGCTCTGTCTACAGCCAGCAGAGGCAACAGTCATGACCAAAGCCAGGTGTCATGACCCTCTGTCCATGGAGTCGTATGTGCCTCTGCCTCGCTGCCCCAGCTAGAGGCCAGAGAAGGCCTGTCATGTCCAGTACACATGTAAGGCTAAAGGGAGTCGTGGCTGCCCAGCCAAGAAAGTGGCCAGCAGGTCCACTGTACATTCATAGACGAGTACAACAATCATGGACAATAACTGTGTAGTGTAGATCACATGTCCCTCACGCAGTCAGCACCTGAGGCATGGCCCAGCGCGTCGCCCGCTCTGCTCTCCCCCGGCGGTCATTCGCTCAGCACGCGAGCCTGCCTCCTCTCCACAAGCCGGCCTATCTCCCTTATGACCAGCGGTGAGATAAACACGATCGTACAGCTTGTCTGTGGAGAGAAATGGGGTTAGCAACACCGTGGTGATAAGGGGTTAGTGGTCAAACGGCTTCCCTAGCCACTGACTGGCATTGCCATGTGGATGGCAGGACTATGTGAATACAGTGTTAGTCTATCCGTAAGGAGACTAGCTCGTCTCACCATTAAACCGAGCGGATGCAGCAGCAGAATAGAACCTTACTAAAAGAAAAGCAGCAAGAGAATGGAGTGTGTCCTTGAGGGCCAGAGTTTTTTTTTTCCAGTTCCCAAGGTGTTCTATTGGGCAGACTGGGATGGGGTAGGGGGCTGTGCCTAGAAGGCGCTGGGCTGCTGGTGGTGAACTGTGGCTTGTGCTGGTAATGCAGGACCTGCTAGGGCAGTGGGAACTTGATCTTGGAGTCCTGGAACTGTTTGACTGCGGGCTGGCGGCACTTGCTGGCTGCCATCTCTTCCACCTTCACGATCTGGACCGAGTGGGCACAGGCAGGGCCAGAGAGTCTGGGCCAGCCAGACTAGGGTCTAGGGGAGCAGCAGCTACAGAAGCCGCACAGAGAAGCAGAGACCTGACGGGACTCGGGACTGCTCCACCCCGGAATCAGAATCAGGAGCCTTTGCCCAAGTTTGCTGGGCAGCTTGTGGGAAGAGGGGAGCCATACCTGCCAGGACTGAGGGCTTGGTAACACAGGCCTGAAGCCGTGAGGCTCAAGGCTGAGGCACCAGCAAGCACATTTCAGAAGCTGTCCTGACTGAGTGACTGTGCAATTAACTGGATTATAACCTGCTGGACTTCCTCAGTATGGTTCTGTATGGTCTATGAGTTATCCCATAAGATTCTGGACCCAGTCAAGCAGATTAGCATTAGAGTGAGTACAAAGAGGAATGGGCACACAGGGCATGTGTCTGCCTCATGGGAATTCTGTGTTGCTTATTTTGTTGAATGGGACAGTTCCCCTTTGTAAAGATCATAAAGGTCAATTATGGCCGCCCCCATGGGCCCTTGTCCTTTTAACAAACACAGTATAGCCTCACCCTGTGTACTGCAGCCCCATCCTGTCCACTAGAGCCCACCCTGCCCTGCCCACTGCAGCCCGCCCTGCCCACTGCGGCCCCGTCCCATGAACTGCAGCCCGCCCTGCCCACTGCGGCCCCGTCCCATGAACTGCAGCCCGCCCTGC